CCAATAAATAAATAAATAAATAAATAAATAAATAAATAAATAAGGAAACTGTCCTGATAAGGATTGATCTCCAGATATTTGCTAAGTACTCAGAAATGTGTCAAGTAGACTACCATTTATACACCAATGTAAAATAACTACATACAATTTACTTATATATGCATAAGGTATCATTGAGGAATATATAATAAATCTCTAACATTGGTTAACTCTGTGTGACTAAGGAATAAGAGTTGGAGGGAAATTCCACTGTAAACCACCCTTCTGGATTTTGAATCAGAAAGGTTATTTTATACACACATACACACACATCCTTCAAAGGTCCATTAAAAATCAGTATTAGCCCAGCTGGAGTGGCTCAGTGGTGGAGCATCCACCTAGGATCCAGGAGATCGAGGTTCAATTCCCCGTCAGGGCACATGCCCAGGTTGCAGGCTCGATCCCCGGTCAGGGGCCTGCAGGAGGCAGCCGACCAATGACTCTCATCACTGATGTTTCTATCTCTCCCTTCCTCTCTCTGAAATCAATAAAGATATATTAAATAATAATAATAACCCTTTAGTGAGGTTTATCTCTCATTCCACTTTTTCTCTCTACTGGTTTGGAAGTTATACGTTTTATTCTTTCAGTGGTTATGCTGGAATTATAGTGTGCATTCTTATTAAAATCTAAACTCAAAAGGCATTTTCTTGACCCCCCCCCCTTAAACTTAAGCCATAGGGGCTTTACCTCTGAATAGCCCCAACCAACATTTAACTGAAGAACACTGCCTTTATTGTTCTCTCAGACTAGCCAATTAGGTTTTCATGCAATTTCCTTTCAGGTAAACTTTTGGGTGAGTAATGATGAAATAAAAACTTGAAATGCTGGAGTTTAATGCAGACTCTACCACTTATTAATTTGGAATTAATTTCTGCATTCTGATCTTGGCTTTTTCTCACCTACATAAAATAACTATTCCACGGTATACTCATGTGGATCAAATATAAGCATTCAAAAGACCCAAAAAGTGATAGGTAGCATAGATAGAGATAAATAGACCTCTGGTAACTGTAAATGTACTAATACAATAATAAAGTGTACGGCTATAGAAAATCAATCATAAAAACCTCACAGTAACCTTTCCCTGCATATCGGACATAGCTAACTTCTAAAGTGCACAGAGCAAAAATAACAAAGCCCCTAAAAAAAAGGGAAGATTGGGAAGTCGGACCTACTAGATGGAAAAGAGCACTTGTTTTCTCACTATTCAAGAAATACCTCATGTCTGAGTGGCACTGCGCCCCTTTCGACGCAATATTATCTTCTATCATTCTATCCAATCATTCTACTACACTTCGCGCATACTACAGCTCATTCACCTAGCAACCCAAAACTGCTACCAGTGAGGAAATCTCCAGGCAGCGCTAGGCGAAGATGCTTCGCATCCCTAAGTCCAGAAGCAGCGTGTCTCGCTAACACTCCCACAGTCCAAAGAACCACGATGCTCTCCACCACTGCCCGAAGAAGCGGCTAGCTGAAGGTAGAAGGGCACGAGGTGAGCGAAGAGGCCGCAGGGAACAAGCTCCACCGCGCCCCACTGCGGAAGTCCTAGGCTCGGGCCGCAAAGCCCCAAACAATGGAAGTTTTCCCGCCTCCTCAGGGCCCCGCCCCCTGCTCCAGAACGGGCCGCGGCTAGGGAACACCGCGCAAGACCCCGCCCCCAAGAAGGCCCGCCCACTCTGGCCCCACGGGTCCAGCCTCTCCTGCTGGGCTTTGCTTTTTTTTTTTTGGCGCCAAATCTCTATTGGTTATTTTCTCGGGTTGTTTGGGGATCCTACCGGAGGCGCGCGCCAGGACTGCGGGGACAGTAGGCAGTAGCGGCGTGAAGGCACACAGGCTCGCTAGGGCCCCGCCTCCCCGCCGATAGCCGCGGGCCGGGGGAGGAAGACGAGGGGCTGGCGAAGCAGACAGACGCCGCTGCCCCCGGCAAGATGGCGGCCGCGAAAAGCGGGGCAGGGGGCGCCAGCCAACCGGCTTAACTGCTAACGCGCGAGGCTCTCTGCAAAAGATGCGTTTCTCCAGTATCCAGGCCTCCTCAAAGAGCGACGGTCGTTCACTGGGAGGCAAGTCCTCCAACCCACCGGTCTCCCCTCCCGGGGAGACCTAGTCTGCCACCCCCTCCCCGCGGACTGGCCAGTGCAAGCTCTCCGTGGTCCCACTTACTTGTCGGCAGAAACCCGCTCCGCAGCGATGGCGGCAGTGGCTGTGGACTCTGCGTCCATCGTTCCCCTGAGGTGGTGGTCCAGCAGACGAAATACAGCCTGTGAGAAAACAGGGAATTTGGGAAGCCAGACACTTACACGGGGACAGAAAATGGCAGATTGGAGACCCCGCGCGGCTGGACCAGCTTATATATCAGGGCCCTTCGCCCCGCCCATCCACTTCCGGATCCTCCCCCTCTAGTTTAAAGGGCCAGAATTCAGCCCCGTCTAGCCCAAAGACACCCCCATCCTCGCTTCTGTCTCTTGGTGTACCTTTCCTCCCTGGCCTGTTTCTCCTCAAAAAGAGCAATTTCCAGCTTCTCTAGCGAGTCGCATAAGAACTGGAATCTTGGTTACAACTCCTGACTGGGCGTCAGCCAGTGGCTTCCACAGAAAGGGAAGCCGGTACTGCTCTGCATGTTTGGAGCGAAGAGCCGAGGGTCTGTTTCCGGCCCGGGTAATCCGGGAGGTATCTGAGACTTTCTGTCCGTCCTCGCAGTCGTAACGGATGGACACGCAAGAGTCGAACACGGGTACAGTAGCAACGGCTAGAACTGATCTCAGTAAGAGACGCGTGGCTGTGAGCCTCAGCAACAACTGACCAAAGGAAGTACTGTTCTAGGATTGGCTACCGCTGAAACTACCGCGCTTGATTCAAAGCTCAGTTCTGCTGCTAGATGCGCCTGGCTCCTCCCTCTGGCCCGCCCCCTTTGGCTGGTCCAATCCGCTGACGCCATCATCTTAGGCCACCCAGACTCTAAATCTGACTAGTTTAGTATTACCAGCTTTTACGTGTCCGTTCTTCGCTAAGATTTGTTTGCCCACTTCGTGCGAAGGTACTGTGCTTAGACACTTTAAAGCTATTAGCAGTCTTATTTAATCTTAACAACGCTACTAGTCAGATTGGTGTTATCGACCCCATTTAGTCGAAATAGAAACCACGGTTCAGGGAAGGTGGGACTTGCTCAGAAATTTGCAAGCCGAGTCTGTTTTAGAAAGCAGCGCGCTTCATTTTCTGCAAGTGAGTGGAAAGATAACTAGTAAACTGCAATGGTTGCGCTTAACCACACCTAGAGCATCATCCATTGTGTTCCGCCATGGTCTTGACTACAGTGATCAGAATAGGATTTTATTTACGTCCAGGTTCAGGCACACCGGTAAAGATTCCAGGTGAGGATTCTTATTATTTGCCAAGGCTCAGGCAGGTTGAAATCTTTGGGGGTATAGATCTGGATTGAAAATGCCAGTTCCTGTGGCAAACAGCTACTCCTCTGTTGGTAGCTGGGTGATCTGAGCCAAGTCATGTAACTTTAAGATTAAAGGTAGCCAGGCAGTGTGGCTCAGTTAGTTGGAGCGTTAACCGAGCACATTGGACACCAGAAGATGTCGAGTTCGATTCCTGATCAGGGTACATACCCTGGTTGTGGGTCCAATCCCCAAGCGCAGGAGGCAGCTAATCGAAATCGGTTTCTCTCTCTCTTTCTTCCTCTCTCTAAAATCAATTTTAAAAAAAATTAGCCCTGGGCGATGTGGTCAGTTTGTTGGTTGGGCGTCCCCCCTTGCACCAAAAGACCTGGTCTACCGGTTCTATTACCGGTCAGGGCACATGCCTGGCTGCGGGCTAGATCCCCCAGTAGGGGGCGGGCGTGCAGGAGGCTGACCGTCGATATTTCACTCCCACGTGGATGCTTCTCTTTCTCCCTCTCCCTTCCTCTCTAAAAATCAATAAAAACATTTTTTAAAAAAAGATTAAATGTAAACTGAGAACAGTATTAGTGTCCAGGCTCAACAATAAGCACTGTGCTTAGCTCCTGCTACCACAGTTTGATAACATGGTGACTGGAGGTTGGGGGAGCGGAGAGGGGGAGCGGCACATGACCTCTCCAGAGACCTTGAAGCCAGGGCTAGGGCCTGAAAAACAAAGTCCAGTAACCTGTGTGACCATGCATCAGTTACACTAATATCCACTGAGCAATTATGATGTGCAAAGCTTTGTACTAGGTCCTAAGGATAAAAGACATGGTTTGTGCTTTTGAGGAACTCAAGTCTTAGGAAAATATTTTAAAATTGATTTTAAATCCACCCACTTCTCTCAGTCTTTACTATGACCACTCTGATCCAAACCTAGCCACCGTCATCTTGCCTGTACTACTGTAGCCTCTGGTGTCTGCTTAACCCTCTCCAGAAAAATATTTTTTAAATGTAGATCAAATTACTGTATGTCACTCTGCTTATCATTGCCTACAAGGTCCTACATAATCTGGCTCCATTCACCCTTCCAAATTCATCTCATACTTCTCCCTTCCTTAATCAAGTCAATGTAAGAAACATTCAAACCTGTAAGGAATTTTTGTGAGTTTATTTGAGCCTAACTGTCGACAATTGTTGAGAAGCAAAATCTCAAGGCATTGAGATAATGCTCCAGAGAATGGCAGTTGCTTTTGTATTTTAATCTTTTTCTTTTGTTATCCTCACCTGAGGATATTTTTTCCATTGCCTTTCAGAGAGAGTGGAAGGGAAGGAGAGAGGAGAGAGGGAAGGAGAGAGAGAAGCATCAATGTGGATGTGAGAGAGACCCTTTAGCTGGTTGCCTCCCACTCAAAGGGGGGCAGGGAGCGAACCTACAACCCAGGTACTTGCGTTGACCTGGGATCGAACATGTGACCCTTTGGTGCGCAGTCCAATGCCCTAACTACTGGACCACACCTACCAGAGTGAGAATGGCAGTTTTGCACCTTATTTTATACATTACAATCAAAAGAGAAGACATAAGTGAGTTACATGAAATTCATTGGTGAAAGGTTAGGGAGGCAGAAGAAAGCAAAGTGGGGGGTAACCGTTAGAATTGGATGAAAAGTAAAATAGACACATACATCTTTTACATAGGTGGGCACAGGATAGTTAAAAATCAACAATGAACATGATTGCCCTAGCTGGTTTGGCTAAGTGGTTAGAGCATTGGCCCAGGGACTAAAGGGTCCTGAGTTCAATTCAGGCCAAGGGCACGCACCTCAGTTGCGGGATGTAACCAGTCAATATGTCTCTCTCACATTGATGTTTCTTTCTCTCCCACTCTCCCTTTCCCTTCCACTCTCTCTGAAAAGCTATGGAAAAATATCCTTGGGTGAGGATTGAAAAAAAAAGCAATGAACAGGGTAACAACTGAAGATTTATGGTCTCTGCCCTGGTGCACTGGTTGTGCCCTGAGGGGTATGGAAAAAAGAGGAGTTACTCTGACATTCCAAAGGAATGTTATGTAGATGCAAAAGACAATAAACAGGCTCAGTTAAGGTAAAGATTGACTTTTGTCAGGGAAGATTGTAACCTAAGACATGACTGCCTGCCATAAACCGCTTTTAGTTAAAAAGTTTTCATTTCAGACCATCCTTTGTGGTTACTTTAGGTGTCTTGTTTGCAAGGCCACCAGGTAGGCCTTCCCTGAGCTCATCAGGTTAGTATATGGCCCCTTTTCATCCACAACTGTATTCTTAACATGCTGGTCTCCTTTCTGTTCCTCAGAATGCCCAAGCCCTTTCTCAAATCCAGGGGCCTTTGCACTTGCTGCCTTACTGCCTAGGAAGCTTTTCTCCCAATACTTTGAGTGATGAGCTCCTATCCATCTGTTAGGCTCATCTCAAACAAAAGGAAGCTAATTTCAATTGAGCTTAGGCCTTCCCTGCCCACTCAGTCAATATTAGTTTCCCTTCCTTTTTTTCTTCCATTGTACTTATCAAAATCTAGTTACTTTTTTTTTTTTTTTTTTT